AAATTGAGTTACAAAAAAAAAAGTTTCAGGAAAAAAAAATATATCTATTCAATGACTGCAGTAGGATATGTAGCCCCAGCTAGGTGCTACTTTATAGGATGCGTAAAGTTAGACTTGTGTTCATGGAAATGTGTGTGTCACCTGTTTACTATGAGGGTATTTGGATTGATTAGGGTCTTTGGTGATTCAATAAAATGTGAGGGGAAACAGTATAGAAAGCAAACATAGATACCTGAGACAGTGGGGGAGGAGAGTGGGAGATGGCAGAGGGTAAGAGATAGGGAATCAAGGATGGGGGTGGGGAGCTAAGCATATAGAAAACAAGAAATGGAAGATCATCTGCTGACAATAACATGTTTGTTGATGTGCTTGATTGAGACAATATACAGTGTACTCTGGATGGAAAATCTCATTTTGTATGTTGTAATGATGTACAGTGAATGAATGCAAATGAATTGAAATAAAAAAAATTATTGGTCAAACAAGTATAAAAAAAAAAGATTTATTTTGGGGACCAGCAGATGGTGTAATGGTTACGTCACTGGACTCCCCTGTGGTTGACCATGGTTCGAGTCATGAACCTGGCAGCTTAAAACTTACCCCGGGTGCATGTGCATGCATTTCCAAAATCCCACGAGGAGAACGCAGCACGGATTGCAACCTGGCCATCCCCCCAGGGAGTGATTTCTCACTTTCTGTCTCTGTCTCTTTGGTGTGTGTATGCATCCTATAACCAAAATCTTTCTTAAAAAGAAAAAAATATTTTCTGAGGCCAGCAGGTGGCATGAAGTTTAAGACACTGGATCTCACATAGCCAACTCCATGGTTCGAGTCCTGGACCTGGTGGCTTGAAAAACTCACTGGGCACATGTGCATACATGCCTAAAATCCCAAGAGAAGAATGGAGAGAAAGGGATTGCCGTGTAGCCACCTCCCGTAAGGTGTGCTCTCTCACTTTCCCTCTCTCTTTGTCTCTCTAGCGAATGCATGTGCACTATAGCAAAAACGAAAAAATAAATAAAATAAAATAATTATCTGGCCCATTACAGAAAAAGCTTGCTGACCCCTGCTCTAGAATCCTATAAATGAAGGTAGGTCTGTTCGAGCGCATCGTTCGGGTAAGGAAACTGAGTTTTGCCCACGGTCAGAGCTGGAGCAGGGATGAGAGCTGAACCTGAGGGAGGCTGCACTTCTAGTACGTGTTACTTTCTGCTCTGTCTCGGACATGTCAGCGGTCTCGCTCCACACACAGGGGCACAGGGGCACAGGGGCAGGGACTGGGGCAGGTGCAGTCTCCAGCGAGGAGTAGGGGTGATGGCAAGAAAGGCCCATAATCTCACCTTCCAGAAAATCCAGAAGCCATTGAGCCAGCCGAGGAGAACCTCGCAGATAAGGATGGTCAGCACGATGTCGTCTATGGTAGAGAACAACTCGTAGTGTTGCTGCAGGGAAGACGGAAGAAGAGCCCGCGAGGTCAGTGCAGTGGGGCCTGGCTTGCACCTCTGCCGCTCCCCTAGAGCGCCCCCGCGTGCTAAGGCCCTCGGGCGCGGCCACCACTGTAGGCTTACTCCGTCTTACAGAAGCAGAGCTGGAGCGGTGCCCAAGTGCACACAGCGCCGATGGAGGCGGGCTGGCCAGCCGGGCCGCTGACCTCTGGGGAAGGGGTGTTCAGGAAAGGAAGTGGGGGGGTCGCTGAGACAGATGGGCTCCAGGATGGGAAGGGGAAGGCCGGAGGACGACAAGCACCCCAGCCCATCCTTCCCAGGCTGCCCGGATCCACTTCCCCAGATTGCCCAGGTCAGGCCTAAGCAGACTCCTATGACCCTCCCACCAGGGGCATGTCCGCCGGTGGTGAGCCGGTGGGTGGAGGGCCAGGGCCTGTCCAGAACCCCCCTCACTTCTGCCCAACGTCCACCCTACTCTCAGCTTCCTTCTAGCTGGGACCCCACGAATACGCCACAGTTCCTGACCCAGCTCTGGCAGCCAGCAACCTCACCTGTCCCCTCGCTTTCTCTAACCATGGCCCACAGATTGGGCGCCTTGAGGCCCCCTACCACTCGCAAGGCCCCCCACACCCTGTCATCACCCACCCACCACTTCTTTTTTTTTTTTGGAGAGATTTTC